GACATGACACTTTACTCTATCAACCAAAGTCGCTCAAAATCTAATGGTTTCTATTCCTCGGCACCCCCCATATGAAACCTCAACGCTATGCGCGTCAAATCGACGTTATTCGACGCTATTCCATGTGTATATAGAATTGTACATTATGTTTTACAGTGCTGTGCAAGCATGCGGCCTTATACACAGTAACACACGAACTCCGTTTATGTGCGCGCGTTGCCTGTTATGTTTTGTGTATTGAATTGCGACTCAATCACAGTAGACGGCGCAGGCACTGTAAAACATAATGTACAATTTCATATATACACATAGAATAGCGTCGAATAACGTCGATTTGACGCGCATAGCGTTAAGGTTTCATATGGGCCCCAATCATCCTGTGAAGTCAGATTTTGAATTACTTTTCTTGTTTGAAAGTTATCGTGTTAACACATTTTTGCGTACAGGGTACAGGGTACGCACATACATTCGGACATCGAAAAAACGCTAGATTCGTGTTCCCTGGCCCCAAAAACACTAGGTGTGTGCGGAAAAGTAAAACGTTTAAAATGCAATCATTTTTTCATTACTTTCGCTCAATCAAAATGGTATCATCTTTCAATTGCTCTAAATTCCATTTGTCTTGGATTTGTGTTTTCAATTCGTGTTTAAATGTTTCCGAAAGTACAACCAATTGCAATCTTTCAATGTGTTTACATTCATTCAAAAATTTAACAATAGTTTCTACTTGCCCTCAAACGAATCGAATTTGGCTTCAATTAAATTTGTTGTTTTTTCTAAAACTTTCAAAATATGTTTATCTTGGTTGTGCCATAGTGTGAGCTTTCTCAAATTCGGATTTCTCTCGATGACTTCAGACCAAATGGGAAACTCATCTGGATCGCAACTAAGCTCTTCTAATCGCTCAAATTTTATATTTTTTATTTCATCCTTGTAATTATTTTGTTTTAAAAGCGAAATTCGCAATTCTTCAAAATTTGGTAAATGATCATTGGCAAATTTAATGAATTCCGTGCTTGAATCATAAATTAATAGCTCTCGAATTTGAGGGTTTTTCTCCATTATTTCCCTATATAGAATATCAGCTAAAATCAAATATCAAAGAATTTAACTTTGGAAAGTGATCAGCGACTAAACCAGTTTCATATGGTTGCATATCTCCTAATCGCATATACTGAACATTCGGAAAGATGTCATTTAAATTTAATTTATGGTTTTCGAATTTAATTGAAGACAATTGAATTCTCGTTACACTATAAAATGGATTCTTCACGTAACTCAATGGATGCCGCGGATTATACCGAAAAGCCATACATTTACACAATATCGGCTAGCAAGTTCAATACATTTTTTCAAATCACTATTGTCGTCACCATCCTTGAAGAAAACGCCCAATTGTGAAATATACTCTCCAAAATGTTCAAGCAGAAAGTAAACTGAATTAATTTCAACCTTTTTATTATAAAATTCAATCGTTTTATCAGTACCAATACTTAAAAAATATGATCCATTTTCGTTCTTAATTCAAACGAGCTTGTCCGCGAATTTTTTATTGAAAACATCAGCAGCAAACATCCGATGATTGCGACTGATTACAGCTATATAAATCAGATCATGAATGTAAACGTTGTCCACAATCTGGGATTGAAAATCCTCATTTAAATCGCTGAATTTTGTTTGATTTGCCAACATTCCACCTGCGCACTTCAAATCGTTCATCCACATATCCTTTTAAAGATGAAATATTCAATATTTTCGATAATTTTTGATTTAATATAAACTTACATTGTCCTTATACATGCTATATGCTACGCTATGGGATACAACAAAGGTAGAAAGAAATGCAAATGTGAAAAAGTGTTTAACTTCATTTTGAAAATACACCGTCTGACAATGAGCAACAAACGTTGTAAAACTACTGGAAATTCTGTTTCATTTGGACTCTTTATATTGCCCAATCTTATCACATCACTTTTTATAAATAACACATTTATTCGATATCAAATCAGCATAAAAAAATAAACAATAACGTTACATAAAATATATGAAACAACTGAATTGAAGTAACTACATTTGACAGCATTTTGTTATCAATTTATTATCATAATCTATGATTGGCATTTAAAATCAACCATTTGAAATAAGTCATATGCCTATAAATTAAACGCTCATGAAATTTGTGTTTGAATTAATTCATTGCTAACATTATTTATACAAATTTGCTGTTTTTGAAATGAATCGTTGCGGCGAAAGAGTAGCTCTTATTTTTCTCCAAATAATACTGCAACATAAAGTTTTTTATGAATAGTTTATTTGTTGTATTACAACAAATAAACCGTGTGAAACTGTTTCGCCGCAACGATTCAAATGGGCATCTAACGTGCGTGTGTTTTTGTACTTTTGCTGTAAAAAAGTTTTTGCACTCAATCTAAATGAAGTCTCGCTTAAAAACCAACTATAATGCTCAAAATTTGAGTAAATCTGTGGGTCCAATGAATTTTATGCAAATAATATCCTTTTGGATTCGATAACGAAAATATGCGTTTTGTTGAAGGTAAAGTATTGGAATCGGTCGAAAAATTAACACCCATTAAAAATATGTTTTCTGGGTGTTTTTAAGGTCAAGGAACACGAATCTAGAGTTTTTTCGATGTCTGAATATATGTGCGTACCCTGTACGCTGTGCGCAAAAATTTGTTAACACGATAACTTTCAAACAAGAAAAGTAATTCAAAATCTGACTTCACAGGATGATTGGGGGTGCCGACGAATAGAAACCATTAGATTTTGAGCGAACTTGGTTGATAGAGTAAAGTGTCATGTCTGGTGTGATGCCCATGGGCATCCATGGGGAAAATGCAATTTTTCTACCAAAAGTCGTATTTAGTGTATTCTTAAACACACAAAAATATGTAAAGGGGGGTTTTTGGGTACGAGAAAACCGAATATTACGTTAGTTTTGCGATACAATAATATTTCGACACACTTTTCATACAAAAATTACAAAAAAAATTGGATTTTTGTATGGAAGCCATGCCTGTATGATAATGTAATGAGATGAAACTTTGCACAGGTTATTTTTTTCATTCTAAAATAACATTCCGAGGGTTGGAAGAGATTTCAGTGCATAATAGGTGTACCTCCCGAACAAAATTTTGGATTTTTTGCTCAAAAAATACCACTCAATTGTATTGAAATTTCTCCAAACTTTCAGAATGTTAGCTTTTTGTGAAAAAAATAACATCTGCAAAATTTCACATGATTAAAAATTATTTGTATCGCAAAACTTATATCAGATTCAGTTTTCTCATGAATCCATATTTACGGTAAAAGATACGTAATAAATGCATGTTGTGGATCACAGTGTGGAAAAGTTCATCTTACGAATGTAAGACATTTTATATATTGATAAAATAATGTAATAAAATTATCGCTTATTAATCATTCTGAAACCAAATTTAAATATCAAAACGATGACTTAATAACAATAATATCTCATCTTTTTCAGCATTCTGTCGATTGTTCCAAATCAAAGTCATTTTTTCTCTCTTAAAATGATTCATTGTCGCATTTTTCTGTCGAATGTCACATAAAACTTGAAATTTCATTTTTTTCGAGTGCGAATCAGTAATGATCGAAACGGCAACACATTTCTTCGATTGCATGTTTCATGAAGTAACTCGTTCAACTTCACTTAACCCATATCGTACAAAATACTTTTATTTACATTCGAAAGGAAGTCTTTTCTTACGTTCCTTTGTAATCACATTCGAGCATATGAATATATTTTAGTTCGGCATGGGTTAAGCAGATCTAATATGTTTATTTAAGCATATCGCTGTACTTGGCCTTTTTTTCATCACTTGCAAATGGAACGGACAAAAACAATAAATCAACACATTTTATGTGATGTTCGAAGCTATAAGTACCATTCTAAATGAGTTCCGTGAAAATGCGGCAGTATTTTTATGTGAGTCGAATCGTATATTATTTCACTGTGTATGTGAACGTTTTCTCCGTATTTTTTATCACGATTCCTTACAGTACCAGACGCCGCTTGGTACTGTAAGGAATCGTGATAAAAAATACGGAGAAAACGTTCACATACACAGTGAAATAATATACGATTCGACTCACATAAAAATACTGCCGCATTTTCACGGAACTCATTCAGAATGGTACTTATAGCTTCGAACATCACATAAAATGTGTTGATTTATTGTTTTTGTCCGTTCCATTTGCAAGTGATGAAAAAAAGGCCAAGTACAGCGATATGCTTTATTCATACGAACGAACGTGTGAATGAAGTGACCACCGCACGACTGTATCGAATCACGATAAAATGCGGGGAATACGGTCATATACATAGGCACAGTGATCGAGCGTACGCTATGAACGAAGAGAATACGTGTGAAAGCCCTGCCTCCAAGTTTTCTGTTTAAGACGATTTTCTTTTTTTGTTCATTTATTATCCGAATGGAAATTTAGTCATTTTAATGGACAACGAGTAAAGCAGAACACTTGAGTCGACAGTGAGTGCGCAACACGATAAGTTTATTAGAAAAAATTTCTGCGACTGAGTGTGAAAAGGGAAATAAAATCTGTGAAAAAAAGGAATATAAAAAAAACGAAGCGATGAGACAGGTGCAAAAAACTTAAATACATCTTTTAATATAAACTTTTTGAGAAATACCAAATCATATTTTTCTCTTGAACTTAGAAAATTTCTTCAGTAAACAAATTGATATTCTATCGCTTTCGATTTCAAAAATTTGGAAAAAGTGCAAATTGATTTGAATCGAAAAGCATGAATTGTGGATGACATTTTATTATTGTAATCGTATTTCACTCTGACTAACAGTGCGTCAGTTGCATTACGAATGAATGTTAAGACCATTCGATCAAGGTAATTTTAAAATAGTACATTCGAACCTGATCGGTCGAAAAAAGTCAAAAAACTTCCCAATCTCAAATGCATTTTACGTGTATTTTGTCATTACTTTTTTTCCTTCATCGTTGAGAAGGTCATGCGTACGGTTAAATTTGTGGCCAATGTGAGCGATCGCATTTCGTGCAGTTCTCTTCAATCCAGTTCTTGTATGTAAACCATGAAGTGTCCGCACCGTTATTGGATATCTATAAAAAAAAAATAAAAACGATTTCCAGCAAATTGATTGAACATTTTATTGCTTGACATTTTGAAAAGACAAGCGAGTGCAAAAAGAAAAACATTTTTCAAAGTGCATTTGCATTCGAAATGATCCATACCTTTCGTGTATGCCATAAAAATCGGTGGTTGCCGAAATTTGATCTGAAATGAGAGAAAAAAAGAGAAAGAAGTTGTAACATTTATGCAAAATATGTAATTGAACGTAATAAAAAGTGTTGTTTTTTTTTAAATTGAAAACGAAAACTGTAAACTAATTTTTGCGTCAACGAAAAAAACACACATTTGATTAAGTACATTTTTATCTTGTCGCGACGGAATATGTTCTATGGCATTTTCTCTCTATATCGCTCCTTCATTCTCTCAAAGTTCAATCTATTTTAAACAAACAAAAAAACGTTGACGATTCTCGGTTTGATGTTAAAATAAATATCGAGTGTTCAATAAGTTGGCGCTTGGACTTGCTTCAAATCGGCTCTGAAAGAGAGAAGAAGGGATCGGTTCAATGCATTGAAAATAAATGAGATTCAATCAATTTGCATATGTTATCGATTTTGAGCTAGAAAATTGGCGATTCTTTGTTGTATTTTTTTCGATTGATCATTGAATTTCGGCAATATTTTGTACATTTACCAAATAATATCAAACCTGTTTGAATCGGGTTGGATTTGAATATTCATTTTAAAATGTTGATTAAATGTTGTTGTACGTTATTCGTACTAAATCATACATTTTAATTGAATCGAATTCAAATTTCAATTGTTTCAAAAGTGTCATTTTTAGAGTGATTTTATGGTCGTAAAAAATATCAAACGTCTATCCAAATGGTGTGCGCACAGTTTGAACCGGCAATGTCACCGATGGAGAGCAAATGAAATGCTTTGCATTAAAAATACATAAATTAACCGTATTATTGAATTTTATTTTAATATCGGCGCGCTCACTCTTCCGTAAATCACATATTCATAATTCGAGCAATCAAAATATTTTTCTACGCTTTTTAATCGATCGATGTCGTCAACTAAAGAAGACATTCTGTCAGCGGGAAACGAATAAATTTGCCTTCATTATAGATTTGCCGCATAACAAAAATATTGTGTGTTTGCAAAAAGTACGAACAGCTCATTTGCAAGAAGAACAAATCATAAGTCATTATAAAGTTAACAGTTTTATTGAATAAACACGGCGAATATGTGCCAGTAGAAACGGTTCAAATACGAGCATTTTTACGCTATTTGCATGAAACTGTTTTTTTAGCGCAAACAGTTAAAACGTGCAATAGAAAAATGTTAGTTCGATTTGCAGTTTTTTTATTGCTAAAAAACGTGCTTGCTCTGATACCATTGATTCAAATTGAGGGTCAAAGTGTACAGCATTCCACTATTTGAGACAGAAAAAAAAACACATCGCCAATGTTACGCACCAATCACAAATAATGCGATAAAAATTTGGATGAAACCGGAAATTAATCTCACTTCATTTTGAATGTTGAAATTCACGTACGAATCGTTTACGATTAGTTTGTTTGTTTTTATCAAAATTAGCAAGCAAATTGATTTAAATGTTTTTTTAATCATCGATTAATGAATCACATGTGATGATGATTTGAATAATTTTCCATAATGTAACGAAAAAAGCACGATGTGAAATAGGAGCCCAGGTGCGTATGGTCCGACTATTGGCTTACGACTGAGGCGAAAGTGCATGTTGTGTTTTTAAGCTAGGCCTGTGCACATGATTAATCTAATGAAGAGTATGGGGATTTAAAAATGCAATTCGCGACTGCAACACGCACATCATTCCAATCAGATGCATCCATACTTAAATTGGAATTTCCTTATGTGAGACATTTTAATTGCGCATAATCGACACTTTTCTTTGCCCTCTCTCCCTTTCTCAATCACTATCTTTCTCATTTCATTTATCGCCATTTCAATATAAATCTAACTCAATATGCGCAATTTCACGGCCAATTAAACCAACACATTTTTCTTGTTTATTTTACAAAAATGGACCGAAGAAAAGAGTGCATTTACAGTCAGATTCATACAATATTGTGTATTGCATCGCATCAATTTCATGTTATCATTTTCAATTCTGTTCTCGGTTTTTTCTTCTTTCGTTGTGAGTAACTGTACTGCACAGAGCGATGGCGATGATCTCATTTGAGATACGCACAAATTCTTAGCTGCACGAAAAAACAAATAATATAATATTTGCGACATGATGTCACAAGCAAACGTCGTTCGATTAAGCATTTATTTATTTGACAGAAAAATTAATAAACGAACTGATTACGCTTTTTTCCTCGTATTTCGATTAAATCGCAGCTATTGTTTCTAGCACATGAATAAACTGCGTTGATGAACAATAAATAAATCTAATGCGATATTTTTTTACGTCGCCTCATATAAGCAAGTGTCTTCAAGAAACTGCGAATTTAGCAAATCAGCAATCATGTATTACGACGAAATCTGATATTTCGTTGGTATGTGCTTAAAATTCGATATTATTAAGTGCTTACGGGATGGAAATTCGTGGAATTAAAACCAACCAAAAAACACATTTCTCATTTCTGGTAATAACATGTTTATTTATTGCCATTCAGTTTATATTTCAATAGCCGTATATTTGCCGAATTTCGTGTCCGATCGAACTTGCAAACAAAGCCAAAACCAATACTCTAAACACTGGAATCATCTCTCTCTCTCTCTCTCTCTCTAAATCATTCAGTTTGGACGTGGTGTTTTCCGCATGAATCAGAGCGGTTCTTTCCTTCGCGCACAAAAAGAAGTGCAAGTGTATTTGTGCATATTCCAAGCAACAAGCAATGTACATGGGGAAATGAACGTATCCGTGTCGAAAGCTACTTTCATTTCTCCATATATTTCATTGGTTCAAACTCGTTGCATACACACAAACGCATGTTCCGTAGAACGTTTAAAAGAAGTGCGACCAAAAAAATCATACGAGTGCAGCGTCATATGAATTCATGCAAGTGAGTTGGAAAGAGAGATTTTTCGAGAAAAAAAAAACTCAGAGACAAAAGATGGTTGCAACATTTGTTTGACGATGGTTTTCATATCGAAATCGATGCAAAATCAATGCCAACAAAATGTCTCTATGCACGTAGTATTGAAAATTAATTGACTAATTCACAAACTGTATAAATGCAATGGCACGCAGTAAATCAATTGAAACGAGATTGCAAGCGCATTTGCACTAGTTAAATGTAAATGTATTCGCTGGTGTACTCGTGTAAGCAAAATTAAGCTATCTCAATTACACGAGACGAAGCAAATGGAAAAAAAAATGAGAATTGGCGCCGATTTATTAAATTGAGATAGTATCCAAAATAGTATCCACTCAACACAGAATAGAAAATTATGCAAAATGTCTGTACAAAGTTTGCGCCACAAACATCGGCCGTTTTTTCATTTAATTACATCATTAATCGTGATAGTGAATAGAATGCGACATTTCAGTTAAGATTTATTGCTAATTGAATGAATGGGAAATTGAAATGGGCGTTCAAATCAAAAGATATTTTTTTAAATTAAATGTGACGCTACATAACACGAAATTGAATAACACAAAATTTATTGCATATCAATTCGTTTAAACTGTCTGCTCATTTTCAGAGAACCACCGATGTATCATTCGAAAAAACAGAGCTCTGTTTGTCCTTCAAAATACCTACAATTTTTTTGTGCCGATTTCAAAAGCCGAGTAGCTCTGAAATCTTTATTTGAGAGGGACAGCAAATAAACGTGATTTATAACAATGTTTATTATTATTTATTTAATGTTCAAACAAGTCAACAAATATTCATATATGCATTTAGAACATAAATTGATGACATATTTGGATATAAAAACAGAGAGATGCTAAAATCAAAACATTTTTTTTGTTAAGTTCATCATTTTTTGTGAGTGTATTTTTGGTGTGAATTGTGCAAATGTGCGTAAATAGAAAAAAGTTTTATGTGCGCTTCCCACGTGATAGTTGACGCCGTTGCGGTGCAGTTTTATAGCAATAATCAATATCAGTTAAATTCCATGCTCCATTCATGCATTCAATTTTCGATAGAGAATACAAATGATATGGAATTGAATAGCCATGGTCGCATAGCACATGACATGTACCTGAAAAAAGAGAAATGTATGAGTCGATTTTTTTCGAAAATTAAAAACAGTTCATAACGTACTGCCCGGTGCCATTGTTTTGAGATTTTCGATATTGCTCTCGTTTTGATTGATTGAAAGCTCTTGAAAGTCGTCATTTTTTGCCTCGCACACAAATCGACCGAATTCTGGTGGCGCAGGTTGCGAACAAAATTCTCCACTATTACCATCATTTACCGGTTCTTCATTTAAGTAGACTTCGTTGTCTGTGGCAAAAAAAAAACGATTATTATTATAAGAAAATGTGAATTCAAATAAAAAAAAGGGATAAAATGTTTTTTTTAGAATAAAGTAAATCGAAATTGAATTAAGTCACATTTCCAAAAAATATTCCATAAAAATGCATGAAATTTCAATGAGAAAATACCGATCAAACTTACCCGAAATCATGTTCGGTGTACAATTTGGTTCGATACCACTCCATTGGAGTTTTTCGTTGCAAATCATTGGTTCACGGTGTGTCAGATATTCATTTTCATTTTTACATCCAAACGCACACTTTGAACCCCAAATCATGCCGGCCGTGCATGACATACTCACATTCTTATTTGTCAAATTCGGATAACCTTTACAATGCTTAACGATTACATGGTATTTTAAGACGCAGCTGCGAATCACAAGGCCAGTTTCAACATTTAGAATTTTTGCATGAAAACTGTGCCGACCTCTTGGCAAAATGAACGGCATATCGGATCCGAAGAGAGTTTCAATTTTAAATAGATTTTCGGAAAATGGCAAATTTGTTCGGCATGCACGTGGCGATGGTAGCTCAACCAGAATACCATCCAAACCTTCACGAGCTATAGCTGTTATTGCCTTCGGGCATCGAACACAGAATTTTTTCTCTGTGACATGACGCGGTTTTTTACGGATCGACTTCAGCTGTGAAAATTTACAGAAAAAAAAACATAGATTGGGCATAGTTGTTTTGACATTCGGTTAAACAACGGTTGAAAAAAAACGGAATTGAGACATTTTTTATACAAACCGTTTCTATATAAACAAAGTCAACACGGCGACAAATATTTTTTTCTTTGAATTTTCTCTCTTGTATCTTTATTATCCACCGAATTCAGTTGGTTTTTATTCGGATGCGCTGCGCATACACAAACAACAAGTACGATCGTATGATTGTATTGGTTCGCCGTATCGCCAATTCCCGTTGGAAATGACAAAATAAACGAGAAACGTATGCACAAATACATTTGCATAAATGATGTCCCTTCCGCGATACGGTCACCCATCGCGCGATCACACTTGTTTTCTTTATGAAACGCATCGCAATGGAAAAAAACCAACTGGTTTAATGGCATTTAGTGTTGATTTCTTGCTTTGCCCTTGTTAGAAAGAGACATTCATTGAAAACTCAAATAAAACATATTTGCCTCGGTGTTCGTATGCTAATCGGGAAACGAAAACATCACACAATTCAAATGAAAAAAAAATTGCTCCAAACCTCTATGTCACCTTTATTGTCAAATTGTTCACTTGATCCTTTTCTATGCTCATGTCTACCGAATCGTCTTTGAACCGTATTAGATGCCCCATGAAATGGTTGAACGGCGATTGGATACCTGTATCAAATAAAAAATCAGCAAACACTTAATTAAATGACAACTCAAAATGAGATATATGAATGGTAATCACATACTTGTCGTTGATTTCGTAAAATTGCCTGCCAAAAATGTGCTCTAAAAGGAAACGAACGAAAATAAGATTGGGATCAAAAATCTATATATATATATGCCTGTTGAACAACTTAAGCTAATTAGATGAGACAATGTGAAGACATTGGTTCTGGAATGTGATATAATAACACATCTTATTTAATGATGAAGCGCGATTATTTTTTCGCATTCAAATCGGACTCTATGTTGTTTATATTATTTTTCTTTGATTCGCCTACTAGTCACACATGGGATCCATCGTCGTGTCGGTTTTCGAAAAAGGTGACAGCAATCAAATCGTAATGTGATGCCCGCGATGTGTTTCTTAAAACATTTGTGTTGGTCGTAAATTTGCATACATATTGGACAGTCGATTATTTTTTTGATTCAAAATGTATTTTTATCTTCCGTCTCATCTTTGGCTAGAAAAATGGTTTCGTTTTCGAAGCGCTGAATTTAACCCGTAAATCAGGTTAATTTAAATCTCAAAGTTCCATATCGCGCTCACTCACATTCATCATCAGATATGGACTTTTTTATTCCATTTGGCTGGGATTTGTTTATGTACAATTTTAATGACAATTGCTGTTTCTTCTTTTTTTCAAACGAGTTTCACTCTGCTACTGAGTAAATATACTGATCAGCTGTTAAATACGCCGCTAGTGTGCATCGTTTGAAAAAGATTTGAATGCTTATGCATTTCATTTTTATGTGCAGTTCGTGTATTAACGTGCACCTCGATCTCCACGCGTTACAACTCAAGCATCGATGAAGGTAATCTTTGTCAATTCATTGCGTTGCACTTGGATTTTTGTCGTTTATGGCAAAATAGATCTACCAATCGCTTGTGCTCAGAAAGTGAGAGTGTGCGAAACAGAGGCGAGAGAGAGAGAAAGACATTTTCGAATCGAATGATAACGTTGATTATTCACATTATTCTTGCACGCACACAAATGAACGTCGCGTGGCAGATATAACCAATTTCAAATGACGTTTGTAAATAACATTTAATCGAGATGAAAATTAAAATAAAACCATTGATTTTATAATTATCTAATCGAGTCTTGTTTTAAAACAGCCGATCGTTTGTGTTTAGGTGTCGGTGCGGCGCATGTACTTAATTCATTGATTGTTTTAATTTCAAAATTATTAAGTAAACCGAGATTTGCATATGAATGAATGATAGTGATTGTTGATCGGTAAATAAAAAGGAAAAAAAATCAAGTCAACGATGTAATAAAAACCGATAACAAATTATCAAATGCCATTATAGTTTTTTTCAAATTTGGCGACATTCGATTAGATATTACATTGGAATCGATTTTATTATCTATCTATTTCTCGGTCTCTCTCTCTATCTCTCTCTCTTCCTCACTCAATCTCAAATCTATCTCTCGCTGTATTTGTTTATCTATGGCTCTTTCTCTGTTTATTTCTTTATTTTTCTCTCTTTCTCTCTCTTGATCTCGTTTCCTCTCCCTCTCTCTCTCTCTCTCTCTCTCTCTCTCTCGATAAATTCAAACGACATCAATTTGAATTTCAAGCGCAAAATCAAGTGTAATTTAATCGAAACCGTGGTCGTTTTAATAGTTCGGAAACAAAGTGGTCGCCTTAATCGAAATTATCGCAAGAAACCCATTAGCACAAATGATACGTATTTAATGTATTCAATTGAAATCGGCATGATCAAATTGTTTTTTTTTTTCTTCTACTTATTATGAATATTAAAGAAACGAAGAAAAAGATGATGAGATTTGCCCTATGACTCAACGGAATGTTGCGCTTCATAAATAAACATTTTTACTATGTACGCAGTACGGAACGGAGTTCAAATTAATGAATTTTTACGATCGACCAAAATAATTTTTAATAAGGATTTTAATTCATATTAAATAGCGCGTGATTGTTGCATTCAAACGAAAGCGATTTTTTCCATCTTCGTTGTACATAAAATGGTGACGAATAGATCTTACTCTTCTGAACCGATGTCGCAATGTCTATGAGAAATGCTGACATTGCAAGCGAAGAATGTCAATAAACATGACATCGTTGGGTTTTTTATGGGCGAGAGAATTAGTGCATATGGTATAGTATATTAAGAAGGAAAATTGACCTCTTTATCGTTATATTTGACCCAATCAATCGCAATACAGCTGTTCGTCTCTCTCTCTCTCGATCTCACTATTTGAACGTTTTTGCAGCACCGAACCGAAAATAATAAAAAACTCTCTCCAAAATTCAGTTTGTAAGCAAATAAAAATCTCAATTATTCAACTTCACTTCAATTGAGACGATCCTTCTCCTCAAATTTCAATGTCAATTCTAATCAGAACATTTTTCTTCATTTTGAATCTTTGCGGTTTTTTTCGCTACTGTAAAAATGTGCCATTAGTTTCAATCTAATGGGCAACCGTTTTTTTTGCAACCAAATTTGTTTTGAATGGTTTTTCTTGTGAAATATGAAACGAGTTTGTCTGAATTCATTAGAGACCGCTTTCATTGAAAACACACAAAAAAATTGCTTTGACTTACCGATCAAATAAAATAAAATGAATATCTTGGTATAGACACTGCATTTTCTCACAATTACACGCATTTTCGCAGAAAATTGGCAAATTTTTTCGATGAAAGACACAAAATTGATGAAAAAATTCAATTATTTTCACAAAATAAAATGCAATTTTATATCATAATTGCGTGCGATTGAATTTTTAACAATGAAAGCAAAGCCACTGAATTCGTTAAAAAAATTGTTGACGCTTTACACCAAATCTGTTATGCGATCACAGGTGTTTACCGCTGAAATGTTTGTTGGAAACTGGTTCGCAATCAATATACGCGCACGCTTCTTTTATCTTATTCTCATGAAATAACGGATGGAGCAACAGTAAACACGAACCGAAACGAAGTATCTTGTTTTGGCTATAGCCAACGATTGATTAAGGACAATTAATTGTGTTGATCGTACTCAAGCGGCCAAAATGAACTATGCTTGATCAAGTTTTTTTATCTTTTGCCCACTATACAAATTTGCGGGGCTCTCTGACTTTTCTCTCTCTCTCGCTCTCTCTATCATTCACTCTATTTCTCCCTGTTCACACAATGCTTTGCATTGACACAGACGAATTGTCCAATCGATATGTGTACGTAATTTTTTTCTGTTCTCTCTATACATTTTTTGTGAGTTTGAGTGAGCGGAAAGACCGGAGCAACAAAAAAAAGTCCGTTGATTCAAACGTCCAATTCAAATGACGTTCTGTCAATCAAAGGACATTTATTTCTTTGTTTGGAAAAAAAGTTTCAATGCTCTATATCTCACATTAAACGCAACGTGACTGGCAAAAGAAAGATTCGGAAATTCTAAAAAAACATGAAAAATGAAATCAGTCACACTTTGCACTTACCAAAAAAAAGTATGTTTAAATTTAGGAATTTTGTTGAGTTTAATAAGCGCATAAGCCAATTTTAGTAGGTTTTTTCATATTTCCTTACTGCATCAGCAAATGAGAAAAATTTCATTTTTTTTGAACCGAGTGTATGAAACGAAAAAAAGCATTTCCGCCTCAAATTGATAACATTCATTTGAGTTTGAAGTGATGAAATTAAACGCCATAAAATTCCAAATTTATCGATTTCAATTTGAAGAAATTTGAACGGATTTATTTTATTTACGGCCTTTTTACTTTTCCACACACATAGTGCAAGGTGAAAAGTATTGTAATCGGTCAACATTTTGAAAACTTCAGAAACATGTTTTCTACCCATTATTGAGGTCAGAGAACACGAATTTGGCGTTTTTAAACATGGTTTTTGTTAATCTGTACGTCATACGCAAAATTTGTTAGCAAGATTGCGCTCATCGTAGAAACTTAATTCAAAATCTAACTTTACATGATGATTGGGGGTCCCGGGGAATAGAAATCATTAGATTTTGAGCGACTTTGGTTGATGGAAAAAAAATTCATGCCTGGAGTGATACATATGAAAAAGAGTCCAATTTTCGTTCAAAAGTCATACTTAATGTAGACTTAAACACTCAAAAATATGTATTGGGGGGTTTTGGCACGAGAAAACCGAATCTGAGGTTAGTTTTGAGATACAATCAATTTTTGATACAATTTTTGTATGGGAGCCATGCCTGTATGCTACTTTATCGACGTGAAACTTTTCACAGACTATTTTTTACACAAGAAAATAACATTCTGAAAGTTTGAAGAGATTTCAGATAAAACTAGGGGTACCTCCCATACAAAAATCCAAATTTCTTGTGACTTTAGTTATGAAAAGTGTTTCAAAAATAATGTTTATAGCAAAATTAACGTCAGAAATATTTTTTATAGTGTTTTGTTAGAAAATAGAATAATTTCAAATGTCGTACAAATGAGTTCATCATGATAGTGTGAAAAATCTTTTGCGAGTACTTCTGCCATTAAATTAAAGAATATTTCGATGCCGAATATATATAGCTTGATAAAATACGCATATACCACCGTGCGGAAAAGTTCGTCTTACTCCTGTAAGACTCTTTATTTATATTTTCCAGCAGACGGTAGGTATTTTTAATATTCAATTGGCGTGAGAACGTAATTTGGTAGCGGCTGTGTTTTGCGAAGAAAAAAAAAACTCTCGAAGCTAGGCAATTTCGTGGAAAGTGACGGAATGGAAAAGGAGACATTCGGTACAATCGCGCTCACATGCGACGCGATCATTTCCCCTTCACTCACACAATTCCACATGCGCGTACGGACTCAATACGGCTGGAAGTGCGCATGGAAAGGCAACGCCTTCACTGCCTTCACTGTGTGATCATTTCATTTACATTATCATTCGCGCTGTGATTTTCGTAAATAAAAGACGCGTTTCCGTGTAGCTCCGTGAAAAGAGATAGAAAGAGAAAAATAGTTAAAAAAATTTGCTGAAGAAAACATTTCTTTTTTCTCTGAATTTATTTTTTTAACAAGAAATTCTACGACCCCGTAAAAATATGTTTGTGTAATAGTGTATAGTGAAGAAATTAAAATAGTTTAAAAGTTGAATAACAGAATAGAAATTCGACTTGTACGCAGAGTCTATATAAGTAGAAACAGAGTTTTTTTACATAGCTTATTTGCTCTAATACAAACTATGTAAAAAAAACTCTGTGTCCGACTTTCATAGACTCTGCGTTCAAGTTGGGTTCTAATTCTGTCCCATTCAACTAAGAAAAAGGCCACATAATTCAGAAGTTTAGTGCAAACCAATTCAAAAGTAAAAAGTGAGTTACACCGTCGCTATATTTCAATGTCGCTTTCAAAGCTCCTTTGTTGTCACGTTCGTGTTGCTTAGCTTTTGTAGAACAGAAACGCGAACGAAAATACAGTTAATTTTTAACACAGTTTTTTCAAGTGTTGATCAAAAAATGATGATAAGTGCCATTTTGTCGGTGTAATCTAATGTGTTTCTACGATATGCCGTGAAATCAGGATTGGATCAATAAAGGTAGGTACCACAAGCTGAGTTTGAATTTCAACTGGTGAGTTTTTTAGATTTTTTTAAAACTAATTCCGGAACATGTCTAGAAAAATTCGGGAAATATTTTTTGGTAAATTTAAAAAAAATCGACAAATCGTTCGTCCGGCGAAAAATAATTGAAAAATTTTAAGCATTTTTCGGAAATGTTCCGGCGATTCCGATTGAATTGTATTTTTTAATATTTAAGTGCATTTTATTTCGTTTGAATTGACATTAAAAAATTAATACAAGTTAAATTAAAACAATACAAGTATGATACTTGCAGTATCAGTCGATGAAAATTGTTCTCAAAAGAATCATTTTTTTTTTCATTCGTTATTCATGTCAAATAAGATTACATTAAAGATTTTTTTAAGTAAAATCCACAATTCACAAATGATACAAAAAAAAACAAAAACAAATTTAAAACAAATTAATCCAATTCATAGTATTATAAACGGATCGAATGTGATACAGTTTTTCAATTGGGGTTTTTAATCGCTCCGACATAAAAAATCACGCTATATTTCGTCTCTGGCTATTATGATCGACATAAAACTGAATACATGTCACTCTGTGTCATGTAGAGCTTAAATCCTTAAAACTTAAAAATAGAGTATAATCTACATTATAATGGATGTTTCATATAAATCCAACAATCTGATGTTACAATTACAATCGATTCGACTGCATCAAAATACTTTTGAAGACAATAAGTTGATCAGAATTAGTTGCGAATTCTTTGAAGAATTATTCTTCCTGTGTCTTAAATTAATTGCACGAAATGAAATCTTAGCTTAGGATATAACAAAACACTGGCGCTGCTTAATCAGGATAAATGTAATACACACTTTAATTATCTGAGAAAAGAAAATAGTTCTAAATATATCAAGCTTCGAAATTTGACTCCTGCATTTGTCATATGAAATTAAATCAAATCAAGCATTCAAACATTTTAATGAACCAACGTAAACACACTTTTTAGATATTAAACTACGTAACAAAGTATTGTTGCTAATTTAAATGAAATAAGCATAGATTATTATTATAGAAAATTATTATGTTTTAACAACAATTATCTCAATTTACTATTGGAATGAGCCGTGATATAAGATATTTTATTGCCCTGTGTATCAATCATGGTAGCTTTCATTGGAATAAAAAATTGTGTAAGTCCACAATTCGCCACATTTATTAATCTTTCAACATTACGGACTTCATTAAAAAAGCGCTATTTAAATTACGATTATTGGATACATCTTAAACGTATACATTTTTTAACGTGCATATAAACGTTTGAAACAAAAATACAATTTCGCCTAAAAAAATCTGGAACAGAATGTTAACTTACTTTGCTGTCGACACAAAGTCGTTCAATTGGCCACCTTGAATGCCGAGCAATCTTTGTGCTAGCTTCACCTGTTGATTGAACGCATCTAGTGCCAATTTGATCGCTTATTTGATCTTCGATGCATTGCACAAGTACTTGAAGAATCGTTGATAGGCTCCCCAGAACTGTCCCCATATTACTCGAATTCGATTTTGCTCTCATTTCAATGTGAATAAATTCAATCGCTTCATTATTATATCGCCCACACAACTCCGTAGACTAATTATTTCATGCTCACTCCCTTTTTACCATCATATGGCGAGGTCCATCACAAGAACCATTTAAATAATGTTTAAAGCAATCGTTTAGTTTTTTTTTTTAAATAAAAAAAGCAGTCATCCAATCAGTTCACATATTTTAAATTAATCCGTTAATTATTATAAAAATGGGTTTGTGGAGTAGTAAACCAGAAGTGAAAAAGATTAAGAACAATGGTTTGGTAAACTCCAGTGTTGTAGTTGACAAAGAGATTAAAGTGACAAACAATAATGTGGAATGTATGGAATAGTTGCAATTCTTCTCATTTTTTTGTACTGTGGTGGCTGGTTTCTTCGGTAGCGGCGCGAAGAATTGTGTGAGCGTACCAGTTGCACTCGTTTTGCATTGACTCTAGTGCGAATATGCCAAAATAGCGGCCAAATTGGATAGTAACGAAATAAAATTTGTCCATGGATACGATCCGGGTGAGAAACTCACGTTCTAAACGATATTAGAGATTTGGTATGGGTACGCAAAGAAGAAGTCAAATCTGAATATGCTCTGCATGAATTTGAAGTGAACAATCGCCATTTCTAACTTTAGACACCATGTACTTTTTCCTTCTTCTTTCTTCTTGTACGGAAGATCCAAAGGTCTCGTCGTAGCTGTATTTTCTTATCAAAATGATTAACATCCCAATGAGCCATTGTAATGCTATATTTCGCACAAAATATGCATACAATGAAATGGTACAATCGCATTAATATGGTGCATAAATTATGCATATTGTAGTATGCATACTG